GATGATTACCGAGATCCATCCCTCCAATGTACTTCCAGTGCCAGCTCACATTTTCTCTGCAAAAATTCGGTTTATCAGCTGACTGTTGTTCTGTATTCTGCCTGCTAACAAAATGGATACCTCCTTACAAAGAAACTGAGAGGTTATTTTTTACTCTAGAGTAGGTCTGAGAATTCTGCCGTTCTGCAAAAATATGGAATTCGGCATTCTAAGGGGGAAAAAAATCTTCATTTGTGCTGCCTTTTTAAAGCAAGGATTTTTATGCCCTGCAAAATGTTCCGTTGAAGTCTTAGGAGGAGCAGAGGGAGGCGGAACTTTCGTACCCTGCATTGGTTGGTGTTCTCCATGATTAGCTGACCCAGAATGAAGTGTGTGTTTTCGGGTTTTTTGCCCCCCCCCCCCAGAATTTCAGGATTCCCGAAAAATCCTGAATCCCAATGCCAGTAAAGTATTCGGATTCGGGATTTTTCAGAAATCCCCATTTTTTTTCAGGTCCAGTAGACTCAAGAAGAAGAAAAAGACGAACTCAGCCACTCAGCTCTTTTTCGGGATTACTGTCCTGGGTGGTCAGGGCAGATTCAGCCGAGACCAAGGGGATGAGACAGAATCATTAACCAGGAGCACAAAGTTGAGAGTTCAGTCCAAGAGTCATATGCACAAGGGAAGCCAGCCGGCGGTCCAAGAAGCAGAGTCTGAGCAGGTCCAAGAGGTGTGGTCAAGCAGGTCCACGGTCGAAACCAAAGGTTCAGGAGTTGCAGACAGGAACGGGTCCCGGTGGTGTGGTTGTGCGTCTCCAGAAAGGTGATGAGTTGCTCCCACGCTTCCACCATCTGAAGCCCCATCCTTTATTGCCAGCTCACAGCTGGGCCTCGTTGCTTGCGAGAGAGCCATCCATTTGGCTCATTAACCCCTGGTGTTCCTCTTGATTTGGCAGTCGCCGGGCAGCGAGGCGCAGGCTCTGTCTCCTCTCGAGGAGCTCAACGCGCGCCCGCCTCCTCCTGTGTTCCCCTGGCTCCGGGGAAAGGGGAGGCGAGGCAGCCTGTGAAGTCTCCCCAAGATCTTGGGTTGTTGAGGCGCCGCCTCTCGGGGTCGCCTCTTCCATGTTCCCAGTGCTCATGGGACTGGAGTACCTGCCATCCTCAGCAACTGGGGCACTAGGACCCGCCTCCGCCGTCTCAGGGTCATTGACAGCATCAGCTGGTTGAGTCTCAGAGGTGTTGAGCGGGGATGTTTACAGCATCGGCTGAGTGATCCTCAGCTAAAGCAGGCTGGCCCAGGACACCATCTTCCGCAGTCCCTTTGAACAGGACTTGTTTAGAAGGACTGCAGAAGACAACCCAGAAAACGTCTGAGCTGGTGGGAAGCAGTCTCAGCCATTTGGGGCTCTCGTTTCCAGTCCCTTTAAATGGGACTGCCAAAGGGAGGTCGAAGCCGAGCTGGTGGGAAGACTGCTCCCCAACAGTGAACCAGTTTTTCGGGCTTTCCCGATCTTTCAAAAAAAATCCCGAAAATACCCGGGACGGTTTTCGGTTTTCCTGAAAAATCCTGGGTACCTTTGAGATGCCAAAATATACCTGAAAGATACCAAGAAGGTATTTTTCAGGTATATCTCGGCTCGTGTGGATCTGAATAAGGTGAAGGCAAAGGTTTCCCTCACTTGAAAGCCAGTCGAATCCGACTCTGGGGGGCGGTGCTCATCTCCATTCCCAAGCCGAAGAGCCGGCGCTGTCCGAAGATGTCTCCATGGTCGTGTGGCCGGTGTGACTAGATGCCAAGGCGCACGGAACGCTGTCACCTTCCCACCGAAGCAGTACCTATTTATCTACTTACAATTTCTTGCTTTCGAACTGCTAGGTTGGCAGGAGGTGGAACTGAATGCACTCCCCTATATTGCACACAAATGAAGAGGAGAAGAAGAATGTCCTTTTGGAGGAGCGTTGAAGTAGTGTGTGTCATTCCATGGGGCTGGGAATGATAAGAGAAGGGGTGGGGTGACACCGGAGGGTGTCATCTTTAAGATCAACGATAGAAGAGAGAAGATAGACTCCACTTTTAAAGCTAAAGAATTTTTGATACTTCAGCTGGGGACAGACAAAGAGTCCAAAGAGGAAGAAACGAAGTCTAGTGACTCTGCTACCTCGGGAACGGATGAGGATTCTGCAGCAGAAAAGGGTGCAGGACCTGCCAGACTGGTATACGATTTTAGAGACAGAAAGCCGAAGTAAAGGAAGAAGGACTTGGAAAATGGCCTTTCGAAGCGAAGGATAAGAAGATGATCAGAGACTTCTCTCATACCAACAAAATAACATATAAATAACGAATTGTTATAAGCAAGCAGGGCTATTTTTGGGCAGGAACGCACAGGAATGGAGTTCTGGCTGGCTCCCAAGTTGGCCACGCCCAGCAGGAACTCATTAGCATAATAGGCCACACCCAACATGCTTTCCTTTATCCTTAGTTGTAGTCCCTTCCCTAATATTTCTTTGTAGTTTTTGTAGTATTTGCAAAATAAAAAAATATCCCTCCGGGGATTTTAAAAAGAGAGAGAGAGAAAGAAGGGGTGGGGTGCTTGTGGACCTCGGTGTCTCCTCGGTGTCTTTCCCCAGTTTTCCTTCCTCCTCCACCCCAAAAAGGCCGAGTAGACAGATTGTGGTGCTTCAGAGCTTCCCTACAATCCATGTCAAAATACAGTTCATGTTTGAAGAGCTGCTGCAAGTAATTCATGATTTTAGGTTTTTTTTTACTTGGGGGGGGGGCCTGCCCGACAAGAAAAACAAATGCCTCACAAGCCACTAATTCCTGGCCATGGGCCCGGTTCCTATCAATGGCCAGTCCTTGTCAGATGTGGTCTGGTACCCCGGTCTTTCTGCAGGCCATACCAATAGAGGCAACCCTGTCTTGAAATATTTAATTATTTAAAGTGTCAAGCATAATTTAAATATGACAAGCATCAGGGCTCATTTCCTGCCGGAGCGCACAGGAGCGGCGCTCCAGCAGTAAAGAGCCCAGGGGGCGGGCACATGCAACAAGCCCCACCCCCTGCTCCCAGCAGCCCTCAGTCAGAGCAAGAAGCAGCCAGGTAAGTTGCAGAGCCCCCCCCCCAGGCCCCCGGATCCAAAACAGTACAGTGGCACCCTTAAGAACAAGTTATATTCAGGTACAAGCTCTCCCTCCTCTGCAAGGACAGATCTGCACGTTTCCCCCCCCCCATAGCTAGCAATCCAAAACAGTCCAGTGGAGCCTGAGTGGTGGGTGTTGCCTTCTGATACCCTTCCAGTGATGTCAGGGGATGTGGCATATGCAAATAAGTTATGCTAATGAGTTATGCTAATGAGCTCCTGCACCTCTTTTTCTACGAAATGACCCCTGACAAGCATCAAAGTGAGTTCTGGTCTTTTAATGCTGATGCCACAGCTGTGGGGGTGTCTGTCAAGGCATATCTTCATAGAAGGGGATGGGAATTATGCCCATCCTGCATAAAGAGAGAATGTTCGTGAAACTTTTGCACTTGACGTGGGCAGAGGTTGGTGATGTGAAATGCTGCCAAGTTACAGCTGATTTATGGTGACCCCTTCTGTGGTTTTCAAGGCAAGAGGCAAACAGAGATGGTTAGCCATTGACTGCCTCTTAAGAGATCAGGTTAGCTGGGGCCATCCAGGGCAGGGGCCGAGGAGTTTACCATTGCCTGCCTCTGCGTAGCAACCCTGGACTTCCTTGGTGGTCTCCCATCCAAGTACTAACCAGGGCCGACCCTGCTTAGCTTCTGAGATCTGACAAGATCAGGTTAGCTGGGGCATAATGCTTTACGACTCTTTTTTTTCCTTCCTTTTTATTAATAAATAATTTAAATGTTGAAGAGCCATGATAAAAGGTTTGACTGATAGAGATGTTCTAAGGATGATTCAAATGCAGACTCTTAAGGGAACTGGAGAGGCGTTATGTAAATTTGTCTCTGGGGAAACCAGCTCTGCATACAAAAGAGACTGTGTAGCACTAAGATGTCAGGAGGGGTTAATTTGTGTGCTTTACAACTCTTTTTGTAAAAAATAAAATAAAATCTAAATGGGTTTCTTCTTCTCTCCAGCTCACCAACATCGGCACCTTTGAAACCGTCTGGCAAGTCAAGTTTTACAACTACCACAAGCGAGACCATTGCCAATGGGGGAACAGCTTTGCCTCCATAGAGTACGAATGCAAGCCCAACGAGACGCGGACCCTCTTGTGGATCAACAAAGAGAGTTTCCACTAAGGGGGATGCAGTCGGTGTGGCGGGACTGTCTCTTGGCAGACCAGCAACCAGCACACCCGGACAATCTCTTGGTCAATGAAAACCAGCACAAAGCCTTATCAGAGGCATTCTGCGGAGATACTTGCGCTTTATGGCAATCCAAAATATAATGATTTGGGGGAGGAGTTTTGTTGGGGTGGGAAAATTTGCTTCTGATTACCCACGTAAAAAGGGTGTTCTTAGGCTTCGAGGTCTACCCCTCCGCAATTCGGCAGTGTTCCGTACCTGAGAGCCAGTTTGGTGTAGTGGTTAGGAGCGCGGACTGTAATCTGGGAGAACCAGGTTTGATTCCCCACTCCTTTCCATGCAGCTGCTGGTGTGACCTTGGGTCAGTTACAAGTTCTTTCAGAGCTGTTCTCCCAAGGGCAGTCCTTGAAAGAGCTCTCTCAGGCCCATCTACCTTCCAGGGTGTCTTGTTGTGGGGAGGAGAAGGGAAAGGGAAAGGAGACTGTAAGCTGCTCTGAGACTCCTTCGGGTAGCGAAGGGCAGGATATAAATCCAATCTCCTCTTCTTCATTATAGTAAATGTGATGTGTGCAAAGTTCCCCTTAGGCCTGGATGCTGCCCCCTTTAGTTTTTTCCCCCAGTGCCACTTCTTTTGCCATAATTGACATTGATTTCTTCATTTAGGTCACGGGTCACCAACCTGTTAGTACCTGCAGGCACATTTGGAATTCTGTCTCGGGTTGGTGGAGCTGGCCACAAAATGGCTGCCGTAGGAGGTGGACCTAGCCACAAAATGGCTGCTGTAGGGGGTGGAGCCAGCCAGAAAATGGCTGCCATGGCTTGCCTTCAGGCACGCAGTGGAGATCCTTCTGCTGGGGTGAGGGGCCACTGCTGCCAAAGCAACATTTTCAGAAATCGGCACCAAATCTCCAGTGGCCAATCAGAAGCCATGCTGGGTAAAAGCCCTGGCCCCTCCCACTTTGAAAAAACACATGGCCGGCGGCCAGGAAAGGTGTCGGCGGATGCTGGAGACCCCCTGATTTAGGTGAAACCAGTTGGCAGCTTCTGTATTTTACCCAAATCCTGAAGTGCCCCTTCACACTGGTTATACGTACCGCCTTCCCATCTCCATCGGCGATGACAGGGTAGACATCGGATGCTCGCGTTTCCGCTTGAAGCAGAATCCGCTCCCCTGTTTTAAGCTGTGTTTGCTTAGTTGTCGTATGAACGAATGGGCTGTTGGTGGTTTGTCAGGAGTTTTACCTACTGTTGGCTGTTGTGCAGACGTCTGTGGGTGGATTTCCTATCCCGTGAGCCTGATTTTCAGGTGCCAAGTGTCCCAGTTCTCGAAACAACTCTTAAAAGCAACAGCAGTAATGAATCGTCGGCATAGTCTGTAAGGATGGAGAAGCAATAGATGTGTTGTTTTCAGTGACGTGCGTATCCCGCTAATACCTGACTATACAGTGATTTAAATGTAATGTTGGCATATCAAGAGTGTTCCCTTTTCAGAGATTTCCTGCTTCGGTGATATCGGTAAAGGTAAACCGAGGCAACTTGAGTTAACTGGTGACTTCGTCGGCTCCAACTGTACCATTTGACCCAAACAGCCTTTCCCGTAAAACATGGCTGCAGACAGGACGATGGAAGGAAAAGGTATTTGGGCGGAGGACTCCGAACTCTGGTGCTACGTCCTCCGCAAATTTGTTTACGGCTTAGTTGCAAGCAAACCGGAAGCACCTTCTTTTACCTATCGTTGCGTGAGACATTGCTCCCTTGAATTCTCCTGGATCGTGGTGTGTTTGCATTTCCTCTATATATCAGCCATTGTGACGTCCCTTCTTGTGAATCATCGATAAACTGTAGCTGGGGTTTTGCTCTTTGTAATAAAGGAGTTGGAAACCGATCTTTTTTCCTCCCTCCAGCGGCTTTCTGGTGTCGAACTCATTCGTGATGTGGGCCGGATCTGACATAAAGGAGACCTTGTTGGGCCGGGCCACGTGTGTCCTAAAAGGTAATGCCAGGTAGCGGAGCTATAAACTTTATAAAGGACACAGAAGATTTTTTAAAAACTTTAGATAACACATTTCCAGTGAGTTCAGCATCCCTGATTCAGGCAGCTTTTCCAAAACAAGTGATTTCATTTTATTCAGCTCATAACAACACTAGACAAAACTACATAGAACAAGGCTGACATATAGAATTGGAACGGGCAAAACCACACCCAACAAACAGATAACAACCAATAGGAGCACGGAGCTTGGAACCAATGAGAATGGTTCCCGCCGAAGACAAGGCTTTTCTGATTGGCCCTTTAGGTCAGTCCCAGTAATGCTCTGTTATACCAGAACTGTGTGTAAACTCACTCATGTCCAATGGCTCCCTCTAAGCTGTGGAGTCCCGTGAGCAGAAATTCTACTTTCTGAGCTACCGGCATGAAAGTTGTGAGCAGGTGATTTGGCTGCTGCATAAATTCGTTTGCTCTGGAGCCATCCCTTCCTGAGCTGAGACAACAGTGTGTGAGCCGGAGGCTAAAAAACTGTGAGCTAGCTCACACTAACTCAGCTTAGAGGGAACGCTGCAGCCATGTCTTTATTACATTAAGACATAACACCAATCTTTGTCTAGTCTAGTTGGTAACCGGCTACGGTTGCTTGCTGCATGCCTCTGGTTGGGTTTCCAATAAGGACATTAGAGACTTCACTGCTAATAGGCATGCCATTTGACTTCTCTTTGCTCAAAATCAGTAAGAGTGCAAGCAGCGTTAGCCTTTGGTGTCGTGGCTGGGTAACTATGGGTCACCTGCACTTAATTTCTATACCCCCAAGTCTTCATGGTATCTCTCTCTTAAAAACAGCCAAATGAAGAACATAAGAGAAGCCAATGTTGGATCAGGCTAATGGCCCATCCAGTCCAACACTCTGTGTCACACAGCAGCCAAAAGCACCAGGTGCCCTCAGGAGGTCAACCAGTGGGGCCAGGACACTAGAAGCCCTCCCACTGTTCCCCCGCCCCCCAGTCACCAAGAATACAGAGCATCCGTTGCCCCAGACCGAGAGTTCCTGTCTATACCTTGTAGCTCATAGCCACTGATGGGCCTCTGCTCCATATGCTTAGCCAGGGCTCTTTTTGTAGCAGGAACTCCTTTGCATATTAGGCCACACCTATTTTTGTAAGCTCTTGGAGGATTGGCTATATTAGGGGTGTGTCGCTTAATATGCAAATGAGTACTTGCTACAAAAAGAGCCCTGTTATCTAATTCCCTTTTGAAGCCATCCATGCTTGTAGCCGCCACCACTTCCTGTGGCAGTGAATTCCAAGTGTTAATCACTCTTTGGGTGAAGAAGTACTTCCTTTTATCCGTTCTAACCCGACTGCTCAGCAATTTCATGGAGTGCCCACGAGTTCTTGTATTGTGAGAAAGGGAGAAAAGGACTTCCTTCTCTACCTGCTCTATCCCATGCATAATCCTATAAACCTCGATCATGTCACCCCCTCAGCTATCGTTTCTCCAAGCGAAAGAGCCCCAAGCGCTTTAACCTTTCTTCATAGGGAAAAGTGTTCCAACCCTTGTTCCAACCAACTTGTTCCAAGTTAGGTTGCACATGCTTCTTTTGTGTCTTTCAATCAGCGAAAAGTCAGGATGTGCAGATCGCATTGACTTGAAGAAGAAGGGGGGTGGGAGATTGGATTTATACCCCGCCCTTCACTCGGAGTCTCAGAGAGGTTACGCTATTTTTGGGCAGGAACGCACAGAAACGGAGTTCCGGCTGGATCCCGAGTTGGCCACGCCCAGCAGGAGCTCATTAGCATAACAGGCCACACCCAACAGCAGAAACTCATTAGGATTGGCTACATTAGGGGTGTGTGGCCTAACATGCAAAGGAGTTCCTGCTACAAAAAAGCCCTGGGTTTGGACAACAAACAAGGTAAACAGAATAAGAAGCAAAAGTTGGGTGTGGCTGGATGAGCACACTTCTGGTAACATGGGAGTGTGGCCTAATATGCCAATGAGTTGCGCTGTCAGAGGTGTGGCCTAATATGCTAATGTGTTTGTGCTGTTGGGTGTGGCCTATTATGCTAATGAGTTCCAGCTGGGCTTTTTCTACAAAAAAAGCCCTGTACCCCGCCCTTCACTCGGAGTCTTAGAGAGGTTTACGATCTCCTTTCCCTTCCCCGCAACACACCCTGTGAAGTAGGTGGGGCGGAGAGAGCTCTTTCGAGGACTGCTCTTGAGAGAACAGCTCTGAGAAGAACTTGTGGCTGACCCAAGGCCACACCAGCAGCTGCACTTAAAATGCATCAAACACTTAAAACCCTTTCAGAGTCAAAATCATGTCAGCACTGAAGTCTGCTAATTGCCGTCTCCATTTTCCAGAACGCTCCGTGGTTCAGTCTTAAAGGGGCAGTAAGCATATAAACAAATGTAAAAATTACGTCAGTGACTACTCCCTCCCACACCTGCGCATATGCGACTTTCTCTCCTCCTTCCTCATAGCCAGGAGCCTTTTCTTTCTGCTCTGGCTCTTTCTGGAAAGTGTGTTCATCGGCAGCTAAAGAGAACCTCGGATGGGGAGTGCAGCTCTGAGTCTCTGAAACAAATAATGGAAGTGGAATCCTATGGAGAGATTCTCCCTTCTAAGCCTACTGATTTCGGTGAGCTTAGAATAGATTTGATGAGGAGCTGCGGTGGCTCAAGTGGTTAAGACCTGAGTGGTTAAGACCTGAGTGTGCCGCATGACGGAGTGAGCTCCCGTCTCTAGTTCCAGCTCCTGCCAACCTAGCCGTTCGAAAGCAAGAAATTGCAAGTAGATAAATAGGTACCACTTCGGTGGGAAGGTCACAGCGTTCGGTGCGCCTCGGTGTTTAGTCATGCCGGCCACATGACCACGGAAACGTCTTTGGACAGCGCTGGCTCTTCGGCTTTGAAACGGAGATGAGCACCACAACCCTTGAGCCGGACTCCACGGGCTTTCGAGCAAGGGAACCTTTACCTTTTTAGAATAGAACAGCTCCACCTAGGGGTACAGTGTATTTTTGGTGCAGGAAAGTAGCAGAGCTGTGCATCCTTTTCCACAGTAGTGGAACTCTGCATCTTTAGGAAATACAGAATTAAAGGTTCCTGGCTAGGAAAGACCTAAGAGAACATGGTTTGTAAACTGACAGTCATTCTTAAGGCTGCAAATGATTTTCCTTTAGTGCTTTGGACAAGGGAAGGAGGCGCTGTAGCGGAAGTCGCATGCAGTGCGAAGCAGTCAGAATTGAATTTTGTTCACAACTTCTGCCATAACCTTTCCCCCTTCAGTTCCGTGTGGAACAATGAGGCTGAC